ATTTGTTTAATTTAAGATGACTGTCACAAGAGTTATGTTTATGTAACCCGATCGTCGATTTGTGCGGAATTCTCCAAGAATCTGTCGAGTTTGTTATTGTAATGTTATACCGAAATTCGCGCGGTCAGCGTCTGAGTAATTACTTATTTAATCTCATTACGGTCGATATAATTTACAGTGGAGTACAGTAGGTGGTCTTACGACAATTACTACGCGAATAGCAAATACAAGTATTTACTTACTTATTTAGGTATATATAAAAAAATAATTTGTGTAATAGTAGAAATCGGCTAACGGCTAATAATCCACGGGTCGCGGGTTCGATCCCCGCCGTCTCCAACACGTTTCTAGTTTTTTTAGTTTTGTAGCATGTTGGACTTCGTCTGGAAATCTCGATATTAAATGGATGATAGGAATATCGAAATTCTATCCGGGTAACGAACCACCGTCCACAGATGGAACAGCCGTTAAGCAGAACGAACGAGAAGAACTGGCAATAAACTCCCCGTTACTCCTTTTATCGCCAAGTTTTATTTTACATTCTTCATGTACTTTAAGTGACATACAGTGATAATCAAATATATATGTACTACAATACACCTGTTATTCTTAAGAATACTTATACGTTCTGTGTAGGGTCAGATAACATAACTAGTAAAAAACCTCCTACGCACATCCGCGAAGTAATATTAAGTAACTGAACTCGTTACAATTAGTTCACTACTACTTGGAACGGAAACGATAGACGTAATTTTAAACCAAAAAACCAGGCCGTTTTAATAAGAAATACTTTAATAAAATAAACGCAAGTCTCGAACTCGAGACATCAATTGAGTATTTGTGATCATCTAATCGGCTGTTTATTTTTATTTGAATTTAAATTAATGTGCAAATTTTTATGTATAAACGTTTGTAAGCGTAACAATTTGATTTAATAAATTTTTATTATATTTGACGAATCTAAATAATTGTTAAAATTTTAAAGAGAATAAAGTATATTTTATTTTATTTTAAAATTAATACGAGTCCTTCGGTTAGGTAAATATATTGGCGTAGTAAAGTTCAGTTTATGGCATATACCAAAATTCACTCGTCCAGATTGTGAGTCCCAGTTGTGGGAACTGTTTAAGGCTCTTTATTTGTTGAGATAGAACTTCCGCTGACCTTCAAGACCTCCATATTGATGAAATTAATAAAACGTACGCGTATGTAATTGTGTTTTATTGTTATTATTGAATATTGTCTGCGCAAGGTTACCGCGAATAAGGCAACATTATCATTATGCCTCTATGGATTTACTTAGCTAATGGACCATAGACAATGTAAAATTGTCTGCTTGATAAAGCACTTTTAACGGTTTGGATCTTTGTTGCCCTGGTCACGGGGAAACTGACGGCGGAGGGTTTTTATGTCAAGTCAAATCTGTAACGCACCATCTATTTAAAACCGTTAAAAGTGGTTTATTTAAATGGATACACCTCGCATAAAATACAGCCAGTATTGGCTTTGCTGAATTTAACCCCATAACTTTAAAATTGCCCCATACCCCGTAGGGCAAACATATGTCGCTGTACCACTGATTTCGTGCACTGATGGGAATCGAACGTAGAACCTTAGCTTATATGAATGCGTTAAACAAAAAACAGGTAATAAAAATAACTTACGACTGTGGTAACTTAAGCTTGCTATGCAATATTAAGTAAATATTATCGATTATTTCATCACTAGCAGACTGGTTCCGATCGACATATCGATAGCACATCACTAGACGTCGATTAACAAATGTCAACGTGTCACATAACTAGATGTTGGGATTGGAGGCATGTTTTCTAAGAAACAATGGCCGTGTTTTTAATTTTTCGAAATATTATTTAATGCATGGATTGACAGCGTGTATGTCGACTTAAAAATACGATATGCTGTCGACTTATTTCGCCCTTTGAAATTCGGAAGTTAAAACGCGAGTTACTTCACGACTTTTCTGTCTGTGGTTAATAATTCTCCCACTTCTTCAGTCTAAGGTTTAAATAAAACACTTATAACAGTTTAAAATGAGAAATATATTTGTTATAATATTTTTATTTTATCGGATGTTTTGAATTCTGCGGGATAATAAAATTTTAAGTTATTTCGCGATTCAAACCGTTAAAAGTGTTTTATATAAATGTTTAGACACACATACAATAGAAGCTATCCGAAGGTAGCACATTTTTCTTACATGTTATTATATGGTAGAGATTTTTTTACAACCATCAAGTGATTTGTCTGTTTTTATAAAAAAAACACTGAATAAAACACTTTAACGGTTTAAAACGCGATATATAGTAGTTAAACTTATTAGAAACGGAGAGACTCGACCACGGCTGCTTCATCTGAAACATCGGTCCGTAATCCAAAGTATTTTCACATAAAACACATTTAAGAACACTTTGAACCCGGTAGGAATCGAACCCACGCTTAGTCACGAGCCCGTCAAATATAAATGAAGCAACAATATAAAACACAACTTTGATTAAATACCGAATTTTTAACGTTTCCAAGAAACTCGATAAGTTGAACAAAAAGCGCGCGGATGTTTTTTTGTCTTTTTCGAATTTATTATTTACTTATGTTTTTTGCGCGATTGATTTAAAAGCATTCTTGAGATTTGCCGATTTAGCCAGCTTATTACGAGATAACGTTTGAAATGTTGTTTCTTTATAAACATTGCAATATTAAAATTAAGCTATTTTCATAATGGAACTGAACTGTAGCCAAATGGTTAAACGTGTTGCCTAGTATTGAGCACGAGAGGTTTGAATCCCAGGGAAACGAAAAATTGTTTCAGTCAGGCAGGCCACAGAAGTATGGTCAACTACCTGTTAAAGAACGGATCAGTAAAACGGACACAGAAATGTGTCCAGCCCATGCCCCACGAGGGGGAGACGGGATGTCACACACATAATGGAACGAAAAGAAATAGTAATGTATTGGTATAGAACAGGAAATATATTCAATTACGACCCGACATATCAGACTTACTTTAACGGTCTTTAACCCCCCTCGTAAGTACTCTTGTAAAGCCTCAAGCCGTCGGGTCATAGTAAATCTTGCGTTTTAAACCGTTTAAAGTTTGTATATGAAACTAAACTACAGACAATAGTTATTTAAACTTTTTGTAAAGTGGGGTATACAATGTTTAAAGGTCAACATATATATATAGCTAAAAATAATTGTACGCCAAAATTACCAATTTAAATATGTATGTTCGCCTCGAAAGAATAAAGCATACACAGATAATAAAAAATCTAAATTCTATTAACGCCAAAATCACTATTTATCGAGATCGTTAGATAACTTCAGACAATAAATATTATTGATGCGCTAAAAAAAAAATACATTTATGATTTTTTACGTAATATCAAACCAAATTAATTGTATTGCGTGGCATTTATCCGAGTAGTACATTATTAACCGTTTGAAACGAAAAATATATTTATTTTAACGACTACGTTACTACGACCTGACGTTCCGGACGCTTTGTAGTTTATAGTATGAGGCTAATGGAGTGAAATTTGAAGGGTCGTATTTACAATTAAATTAACTAATATATATCGCGTTCTAAATGGTTTAAAGCTTTCGTTTCAAAGTAATAGTGCTGTAAAAAGGCAAATACTTACTGTAACATATATTATAAAACTAAATTTACATTATATATTATTCAGTAATAAAAACATGCAGATAACATATAAAAATGTCAAATGTATTTTAATTTAGTATTTTAAAAGTTTATTTTACGCATGATGTAACAAAATATCTTTTAAATGTCCTCGTTCTTGTGACGTTATATTATATATACTAATATATAAAGCTGAAGAGTTTATTTGTTTGAACGCGCTGATCTCAAGAACTACGGGTACGAAATAAAAAGATCTTGTGTTAATTAGAGTATTTAATCGAGGTAGGCTATAAAACATCGCTGTAACGAATGGAAGCGAAGATACAGCGGGAAATTTGAACAAAACGGGGGAAATTTTTCATCTCTGTGTGTTTCTGATGCGTACGCTCTAAAATATTCCTCTTTAAATAATCTGAAAAAATGTCGTGGGCAGCTTAAATTTATAAAGATCCAAAAAAAAATTACATGCTTATAACAATATAACGCGGAAGAAGTCGCCGACACAGCTAGTACATAATATATTTTAATCCAGTCAAAGTAGCTACAAGAATTAATCAATAATATTAAAATTTGAAAATTGTTATTTCACTGTTCCTACATACGTTTTTTATCTGTAACATACTATGTTCATAGCATTGATCGATGTATATCTTTGTGTGTGTTTTTTGTATCTTTAATCACAATATTACGTCAAGATTTTGCAATTTCCTGCTTTAATTGTAACGTTGAAACCGCACAACACGTTATCTGTCTTTATTTAGTAGTTAAAGTGCCTAAGAGAGGTCCTGGCTTCGAATCTCGGGAAAAACAGTCATAGTTTCTGTGCCTCAGAGTTTCGTTTTCTATAAATTATCTAAAGTGTAAGTATAACTACAGAAAATGTCAGTCCCCTAAACGTTTTTCTTCTTTTGTTTCAGATGATACATCTCTCCCTTCAAGGGTGTTTATGAAGACTGAAAATTTTATTTATTCGTCAAACTAGAATGTAACTGAAACAAATGTGAATTTTATTCGGTAAGTCTTATAATACAATATTTCTACATTAGTACAATTAATCACTCAGTGGCTTTATAATTTTTGCACTTAGCAACTGTCAAAATTTCGTCCCAATAACAAACAATTCATTTAAAGGTGAACTCAAAACAGTGGACAGTTCAGCTAATCTCAGTCAACAAAGACTATTGTTAATTCAATACATTGTCTCCACTTATATTGAAACAAAATGAATCACTGTTATTATTGCACACTAAAATGTGTTGAATTCAAATTTTATTGTTTGTAATCTTCGTGCATTGTTTCAGGTCGCTCTCAGGTCGCTTGGTTAAGAGCAATGACTACTACAATGGCAGCGCACCAAGAATCTATACACGAGCGTCTCCAGCCCGAAGAACCCATCTACCTCCATGGAGCCTCCTGGCCGGAGACCAATGAGAACCAGGAGGAGCACAGCACGGACATGTCGCCCTACTACAATATGCCAAAAAGAAATAAGAGGAAAAACTTCAAACCGCGATGTGCACCGAACGCGACCAACTTCTCTGACGAATCGGAACACTGTGATATTGAGGGCCCCGTAAATGGGGATAGATCCCCGGAAGAAGATAACTATTCGAAAATAGAAGTGAAAAACTTCAGTTTACTCAAATCAGGCGCTGTCGACCTAAGCAGGCGATTGAGTACAGATTCAAACGAAAACATAGATTCTAATTACGAGAATAGATTAGATGATAAAAAAGCTGATAGTTTTCAGCGATCTTATATACATAGCTTATCACTTAACGACAGTGATAGGGACCGGACCGTTATAAACTTTAGCAATTTACAAAACAAAACGTTCTGTGCCAAGAATCCGTTCGCGATATCACAGTTAATTAAAACGAATTCACCACCAAGAAGAAGGGATTCCGATTCTGATGAAAACAAGGATATCAACAGCAATGAAAGGGAAACACAGGAAGAAGCTGAGAGTCAGCAAAATGGGGAAACGGCGAATAGAATTTTACGGGACTATGCAATGAATACAATGAAGGAGTTATTGGGTATTTATGGTTTATCGTCTAATGAAGTAGCGGATGCTATAAGCGGACAAATTCGAGCGTTGGAAGCTCTTCAAGGTGAGTTCTGTGTAAATATTAATATAATATTGAAATTGTATACATCCTGTTTTAAAGTTTGATTTGCATTCAATATTATTGTCAAAACAAATACAATTCATGAAAGATTGAAAATGTTTTGGATGGACCACCGTTCGCAGATTAAAAACTGTGGATCTCAATTTTAGCTTGGTTGTTTCACCTACTTACTACTCTATGCTCGTCTGTTCTTCTCTATCATAAGTAATCTATTGTATGAAGTAAACATTTGTCCTGTTATTTTAGGGAAACCATTCACTCAACTGCCGTTAAGCCTTAAGAGACGCCATGATTCCGGAGATGGAAATGAGAGAAGTACGAGGAGATCTTCTTCAGCCACTGAGGATGAAAGCTCCACGAACATAACACCACCAAAAACTCCAGATAATGACATTGAAGCTCAAAGGTAAGATTTTATTGTAATCTTCTTTTATTTTTATTAGGACACGGTAGCTCAATTGGTTAAAGCGGAGGATCGTTGAGGATGCCGGTTCAAGTCCTGCCCTTGTCGTGAATTTTTTGCATTTTAAAATCAAATTTTAATTAGTAATCTCATATTTATAATTATAAAAAATGTAAGTGTTGTTCTGTGACACAGTTTTATTATGTTGGAAAACTTAACTAATCTTAACGTATTATTTACAGTAGGTATTCACATAATTATTTATGCCATTTTGTATGTTTTTTTATTTACGATATACATTTATCACATATTTATATGTGAATATATATAGTTGTATAATATATATATTTGCAATGTCATAGTTACGTTTAAAATATTTAATTACACATAAATTCAAGTTAAATGTGAACTTAATAATAAATAAATGTATTTAAATAAAACACTACAGTCTCCCCGTGACCACTGCTGCTGCAAAGCATCCGAAACGTCGGGCCGTAGTTAAAAATAATTTTTAAACAAGTTTAACTAAAATATATCTTGTTTTAAACCGCTAAAGTGTTTTATTTAAATGTTTACTACTCGCGTAAACACACAGTACCTAAATAAAGTCTTTAATTAACTATATTAAAATCTTAATTGTTCATTAGGCAAAGAGCTCTACAAATAATAAACCAACAATCAATGAGATTGTTCAAAAGTCAAAACCAAGATGAGGAAGGTAGCGGTTCTGATGATGGAGACCAGACCTTGGATTTGAGTGTATCCAGGGATACTGACGGACAGGTATACATTATATAAACTAGATACTTATAGCTTGAATACTGTTTGCTTAGATTCGATTCTCGTTTGAAGAGATTTTCTTAAAAGTGATTTAATTTTCAGGAACAATCGACAACCTCCAGCGCTGGAAATAGTGTGACAGAGTTTGAACAACAAAACATGTTGATGAGAAAGAATTTAGAAGATCTTGCTAACTTGCAAATGCAGGTATATATATATCTTCTTGAAAACATATTTCCACTGTAGAATTCGACATCTTCAACGGTTTGATACGCGAAATATATAAGTAATAATAGTATAAAATACGTTCATTTTTAACTAGGGTTTGAGGTTTCAGTCAGCCGGATAGACTCATATGTTTCCCGTTTTGAACCGTTTAAACTGTTTATTACATTGCCACTTACGTAAATTACACTTTTGTATTAATAATTTTAAGTACACCTGTTAAGGATTTATTATATTTTAAGGGTTTCTTCCAAAAACAATCCATGATGGACGCTGATGACTCACAAGAGAGGAAATTGCAGGCCAGTGGTAAGTACCATATTTATTTTATACTAAACTACTTATTCATATGAAACGTAACTATTTCAACAAACCATGTGGTAAAATCAACTGACTATTACATATTTCGTCAATACAACCCAAAAGGTAACCATTAGGTAAGTTTAAATATTTAGCATTTAAATAAAACCTTTTTAACGGTTTAAAACAACATATATTAATTAACTTACCTTTCAATTATATTACTACGGATCGTTTTAGAAGCTTTGCAGCAGCCGTGTTTACGGGAGACTGGTAAAAGCAATTTGTGACATTATCAGGACACAAACCGACGACTACAACATTCCATGGCATTACTAATTGTCTTTCATGCATAGTAATAAAATTTAAAATTAAGTTATTTTTATATATGCCATATTTTAAACCGTTAAAAGTGTTTTATTTAAGTGGTGTTAATACTAAAAATATAAACATACTTAAGGAGATGAAGCTCGAGATTATTATTGAATTTTCTCAATTTATACATACGCCGCTGGCACAATGTAATAAAGAGTTAAATATTTTTCACATGTTATTGCACATGATGGCACTATATTAATTCAAGTAGGGGTCGGTGGCTCAATTGGGTAGAGAAACAGCACGAAACACTGAGGATGCCAGTTCAGGTCCTGCTCGAGTCGTAATATTTTTCAATCTATTAACGATTTTTAATTTATAAAGAGTGTGTTTCCAAATTGTATATGTTATTTATAAATGAACTGAACAGTTTCAAAATAATAATTAGAAATATTTCTTATGTTCATGTAAATTTGTTTAACGGTGACACAGTTCTTAAGCTAATTGTCACAATTTACGATGTTTCGCTAATGTCTACGCTTGCAAATAACATGTTTGTGAAATCTCTACTATAGAACACTTACAATGGAGAAAATTCAATTTAATAATACTTTTTTTACTATAGATTTATATTTGATATTTAGATAGATTTATATTATTTAGATTTTTGTTTCAATGGTATAATAATGGCCATATCTATCTGATATGCGGTCCTAACTTTAATATTTCTTACATATTATGGTGTTCATGATGGACTATAAAAGATAGTAAATTGAAAGACAATTACGTTATTATTCCGGCCAGATTTTTTATTACGAGTCCAGTAAAGATTATCACAAGAATTACTCTTTCAATTATAAAATTACACAGATATTCTATACAGCAGTAAAGTTTGAAATATTCTTGCCGGTGTTTAAACAAAAAATGTAACTGTACCAATAATGAGATACAATACAAACAGGATTAATTCCGAAGCGCAGGCTAAATTATTTCTCCACAAAACAGTGGATTCTTTACACTTGTTCGTGAAAAGTGACGGGTCACTAATTTATTCCGTGATCGGTTTAGGATGCCCATAGTTCTATCGATTCTGTGCAAATGTTTAGTTTGGGCGTTGAACTTTGAAGAACCGCTTGTTTGTAATTTCCTCGAGTGCTTGGGAATTTTGAGTACTGATTTTCAATTGCGCCCACGACATGACTCATGTCTTCAACTATTTTGTATACACTTATAACATTAGTTCTACCTTGAAACAAAGTAATATCAAAATCAAGAAAAATTGTTAAATCAAGAAAAGATTAAATATGTAACGTAAGTATCGTCCGTAGTTTACGCGAGTAGTACAAGTTCAAATCAGCGAAGAGAACTCAGCGATTTCATTCGCGTAGAATGGGTGTTTTGTGCATTAAAATTTGTTTTTAAAACCTTTACCTCATCTTTATAATTAAAACTGATACCAACGACGTGTCGCGTCTTCATTGCAAATCTTAAAGACATATAGTGCCGTGGACATTTTTTAATTTGAAGAGAAATATTTTTTTCATACATATGATTCTAGTACCTTAAACCGTTTTTGCAGCGATCTCAACGGAAACCCACAGAGGTGAATAGTTTTCCGCGGAATTTCCGTTCTCCACATTTCCCGCTGTTTCTTCGCTCCTGTGAATAAGCACAGCGATGCTTTATATAGCGTTTCTCAATAAATGCTCTAACCAACACAAAAAAGGTCAATTCGTACCGATAGTTCTTGAGAATAAGACGCATTTAGACAAACAAACTCTTAAGCTATACATTAGTATAGATAAATTACTAAATGTTTAGATTAAACAAGTTTTACGACACGGGCAGGACTTAAAACTGGCACCCATAGCGTTCCGTTCCTCTACTTAATTGAGCTACCGTGTCCTACGCATCGTCGAATTATATATATCTTCTGTACTGAATTGTGGAATAATTACCGTATAAATTCGAGTACGTCTGCAGGCCAGATTGCCAACTGGGCGCCCATGCATCCTAGCCGGCCCCTCCATAATACGGTAATTGTGAAAACCTCGGTCGCCCTAATCTTCTCAATAGAGCGAATTCATTCAATTGCTCGCTCGCTGGGAGTGAACGAAGATTTCATAACCATGTCATCAATCTCTATTAGAGCCGTTTTTGGGTTATTATTTTGTTTTTGTTTTTCGTAAAGTTGACGTAACTTTTCATCTCCTCGGTCTTATAGTACGTATTGCGGAGTAGTTTTTTGTGAGATCTCTTTTGTGTTAGCTTCGCCTCTTGAGGGGCCACAGAAAATCAGTGTTAGGACATCAGTCCCAACGTAGCTAAGTGGCTTTTAGAGACATAATAGTGTTCTTAAACAAAATATAAATGAAATTGCATATATTATGTTTGTTAGAATAAGTTTTAATTGTATTCTATCATTTTGCAAATTAATCTTAAAAGATATACTTTCACGAACAAGTTTTAGATCGTTTAAAGAGGAATCATTCTATCGTACATATTTTTAGTTACTAGAACCGTTTTAGCCGCGCACGCGACGGAAGCCCGCAAGATTAACAATTTTCCTTATTTTCCACTGCGATCCTATTAGTCGCATCGCAACGTTTTACCTTCGATAACATCTGTAACCAACACAAAAAGAATTTTCATTTCGAACCAGTAGTTCCTGAGAATAAGACGTTCAAACAAAAAGTATTCTGCTTTCCAATACTAGTCTAAATTAGACCGCCACGTAATGGAATATTAGACCAGTCTGGAATAATCAGGGCCCGTATTAAGCGATATCACTGATTGCGTTTCCGAGGACGTTGGGGCACAAATAGGCAAATGGGTTTCCCATTTACCGTGTAATGGTCTGCTTTCAGTGAGGGCGTCCGGTCGCGGGCGTTCTGCTTCATTGTCGTGCGAACGAGGATTTTAACTATTTCCATATCCTTATTTGATTGCTGTGGTGCATTGCCCAACACTACGCGGAGTAACAGTCTTGTCTGTTATTTACGCGAGTAGTACATAATTAAACAGAACGCTTTACACGGTTTGAAACTCCAAACATATCAGTTGACTTATTTACAATTTATTTACTGAGGATGTCCCTAATGTCAAAGTCAAATGCTGCTTCACTAGCGCCATCTGTTTCATCGTATTTGGAATTTGGATGGGATATTTCATTTTCCTGATGGAAAAATTGACTCCATGCTTATCTGTTCCTTCTCTATTATAAGAACCCAATTTTCTACTATCGATATATCTAAGACCCAATTTAGAATTCACAAAATCCATGACATGGGCGACTTTGAACCGGAATTAGTAAGTGTTTGGTTGTAATAATTTTGCGCGAAAGTTCATGTTGCTGTCCTTAGCACGGATCGCCGGTTCGTATCCCAGACGTGCCTTATCAGGCTAAAATAATATATAATCGTATTTAAGAAAAACAAAAAGTAGAAAAAAAACGTATGAGATACGCCCCAAACCCCAAACGGGTACTTTGCACATGCGCATAATTATCTTACATTCCACACCAATTCCGGCTAGTTGAAACAACATCAGTGTTTCTAAGAAGAAGTGGCGATCTAAGAACTACATATATAAATAATAATTGCACTGTTATGTCTGCGACACTGTGGAGGGTGATAACATGATGTTTATACTTCTGAATTCTTCCAAGTATTTAGCTTTGAGCCGATTTGAATCTTGATAAGTGTAAGTCTGACGTGTAGCCTTGTCAGTGTCTGCTTGACAATTGTAAGGTCGGGAGTTCGGAGCCTAGTTGTGCACCAAAATATTTCTAGAATTTTACCCCTGAAGTTTTGTTTGTTCCTGTAAAATTAAAAAAACTATATACCTGTATACATTTTTACAGTAAGTTTTATTTAACCACGACTATAAAGATACTTTAATTTCTTAATAACCAAGCCACTAAAATGTTATTTTTAATAACATGAAAATCTCTGAAACAAAACAAAATAAAGCAATTCTACCACTATGTCTATTATATTACTTAATGCAGACAAACAACTTATTGTTGTTAGTATTGTTTTTGTTACAAAATTATTTAAACAAAACACTTTAACTGTTTAAAACGCGATATATATTAGCTAAAATCATGTTAAAATAAGTTTAACGAATATATTTTGCGTTTTAAACGGTTAAAGTGTTTTATTTAAATGTGTACCACTCGCGTAAACTAAAAGAGACAGTACATAAAATCTTACAATATAAGAAGAGAATTAACTAACATCGGAATCTTAAAGAACCACTGAATATTTAATGAAACTTCGCCGAGTCTAAGCTTACAAACTTAATACTACGACAAATAGTTATATAAATTAAATTCGAGTAGTTTACGACTTAATTAGACCGTAATTTAACATAACGACGCCCAAACTATTATGCTTGTTAATTTAAACTTTTTGCAAGATTTACAACACCGTAATCGCTTTGTGTTTTATTGCTCAAACGATAATCGATATCTAATCGCGATCAAGTAATTAATCGATTATAAGAGATCGATCCGTTTGCATTTCTATTACGCATTACTATTGTGAGCGTTTGTTGAGCTTTAAGTTCTTACTTAAGCTATTGTGCAAGGTGTATAATAAAAAAATTGATGATTACGCAACTACATACATAATCAACAATGCTTTAGTATAAAAATATTTTTGACTTCTGATATATCCCGGGGAAAACAAATT